GGTTGGAAAAACTCTCCAGCAATCTTCCAAAGAACAATAACGAAAATACTTGGAGATCTCACTTCGAGCGGCAAGGTTCATGTCTATGTTGATGACATCTGTATCGCTGGTCGTTCCGAAGAGGAATGTGGTTACCTGACTGGAATGGTTATGAGCCGTCTAAATCAAGCCAAGATGACAATCAATGAAAAAAAGAGTTCCCTAAATGAGAGCTCAATTGTGTTCCTCGGAAGGGTGCTCGATGGGCAAACTAAAACTACTCGCGAAGAGTCAGTTATAAAGGTTAAAACAATGAAAAAACCTTGGGATCTCCATTCACTCCGTTGCTTCACCGGACTTACAAGTCATTTTCGTGCATTTATTCCTGACTATGGTAAGATTGTTCGACCTTTGGATTCCTTGAAGAAAAAAGATCAACCTTTTATCTGGAGCCAAGAGTGTGATGATGCCTATTTAAAACTAGTTGAAATGATAACACAAAACCCCATTCTCCAAATCCCAGATTGGGATCTCACCTTCGAGCTCAGTTGTGATGCCTCTAATTGTGGAACTGGAGCTATTCTCTATCAGCGAGATCTCAAATTGAGTAGAAATAAACAGCTCAGAGTCATTGGTTACCACTCGTATACCTTTAACTCGCATGAATTGAACTACTGTACCACTGATAAAGAATGTTTGGCGGTAATCAAGGCCATACAATACTTTCGCTCATATCTCGAAGGAAGAGAATTCATCGTCAATTCCGATCACCGAGCCCTCACATTCCTTATGGACTTAAAGGAGCCCAAAGGGAGGCTCGGTAGGTGGCAAACCTTTTTAATGTCTTTCTCTATGAAAATCAATCACAAGTCTGGGAAAGAACTAACAGATGCAGATGCCATTTCGCGGCTCATTCCGAACGTAACTATTAACAATATCGAAACCAAGTTGAGACCTCAAATTGAGATCTCACCTGAATGTATCAAATCGGTGCTCAGCAGTTATCACGACGATCCTTATTCTGGTGGTCACGATGGTATCTCACGAACCTTTCACAAGATCTCAGCCCGTTTCGCTTGGAACAACATGAAAAAAGACATCATTGAATACGTTCGATCCTGCACAGTTTGTCAAAAGGTAAAAGCAAAATTCAAAAATAGAACCGACTTACTGGTATTACCGAACCACTCAACTGAAATGATGAATACAATCCACCTTGACTTTGGTGAGCTCTCAAAAAGAGGCGAAGGTCGAGCTACCACAAAGAGCTTCTTGGTTCTAATTGATGAAGGAACCAGACTAGGACAAGCCAAGGCAATGAAAGAAGATTCTAAGAGTGTCATCAACTTTCTCGAGAACCATCCTTACATAGACTCAGTTAAGAAAATTATATCAGACAATGGCTGCTGTTTCACCTCTAACTTATTTAAAGATTGGGTCTCGAAAAGAGATCTCAAACAGGTGCTCGTTTCTCCTTACAGTCCATGGTCAAATGGAATGGCCGAAAGATTTGTACAATCGATCAAGTTATTTTATGCTCTTTATCCTGAGATCTCAAATTGGAGTGAGATCGTGGAGCTCGCGGCGAAACACCATAATCGATCTTATTGTAGAGCGATCGGATGCAGCCCATTTTACAAAGCTTTTGGTAGAAGTGATTACTTGCCGGCTGATTTTAAATTCAACATCGAAAACATTGAGCTCACAGAAAAACCCTTTACAATGGAACAAATTAACCAATACAGAGAGAAAATGAAGAAAAATTATGATGGAAATAAACGAAGCTCGAATCGAGATCTCAAAGTGAGCGATCACATTTTGATCTTCAAAGGGAAACAAGGTAAACGTTATATCACGGAAGGACCCTTCGAGGTAACCGAAATTGTGACCTTCAATGAGATCCCAAAAACCGTGAAATACATGCGCGATGGAGTCATCCAACAAGCACACATACGTAACGTAGTTAAATTTCATCTCAGGCGAGATGATTAGTTCAAGTAGTGGGGTGTAGTGAGACCTCGTTTTTTGCCTCTAACCAAATCTCATGAGATCTCAAATAGAGATCTCACCATTGATAATTAATTCTAATCCTAATCCTAATCCTAATCTCTCTACCCTTTTTTGACCTTTTTAATCCTTTCTATGTTAATCTCATCCTGAGAACCTAATCTGAGATCTCAACCTGAGATCTCACCCTGGGAACTCGAATAATTATCGACCAAATTATCCTCGAAAGAGTATAAAATGCAACTCGAAATGAGCTCTCATTCAGAGACCTCATAGTGAATGTACTCAATAGGACTACTTTTTGATACCCAATAAAACTTCTCACTTTGTGGAAAATATTCTTCTCTCAAGTTTACTTTATTAAGTTCACCACACTAATTATGATAATTAACCATGTAAACGCTAAACAATCCAGAGATAATCTTACATATGTATAAGTTTAGCGAGAAAAAAAAATTCTAGTTCCAAATTTATGAGCTCATAAGTTTGGATCCTTTAAATGGATTTGATATTGATGGACATGGTAATGTAAACGCTAAACAAGCAATGAGATATAGTCAGAATTTCATCTGAGTTAATGTTCATCAGATATTCAGGAGAGAGAGAGAGAGAAGCGAAATGATGAAGATAAAAGCATAAAACGCGCGTATTTTGATGATTGATGATAAGTGACAAGAGGAATTAGAAAGATGAAGAAAAATAAAATGAGTGGATGAGAGAGAAAAGCATGAATAGAAATTAAGGAAAATAGAACAAAGATAAACCATGGTAAGAAGAAAAGTTCTAACAATAGAAAAATTCAACACCATGACCAAGAATTCGGTTAAATGAGTTCGAAAACTTTTCGATTAAAAATCTTATGTGAGAATTGAGCAATTTCCAGATCATGAGGTTTACGTTTATGGATCAAATTATCAGTTGAGATGGAGAAAAGTTCAAGATCAATTCTGTATCTTTATCATGACTGATGATTATAAATTGTATCCATGATCTGAGACCAAATGTTCATTATTTAATTCGATCACATACTCAAGAAATAAATGAGCAATAATTTAGCATAATCACAGAATTTTTAATCATAAAGGTTCATTGTAAAGGCTAATGAGATAATTACCGATCTTTAATCATGATTGAAAATCAATAGCGATCATTTGAAAGCTCTTGCCAACAATTAGCTCGATAAGTTTTGCTTTCTTCAACTATCTTTTAATTACACAATTTAATCATCACTAAATAATAAGTATTAGTATTGATCGATTGTGAAAAAAAGTATCGAATTGTAAATATTATGAAAAATTGGAAAATAAATCAAGATATCGATGGAAATTAGTTGGAAATAATAACTGCAAAGATGATTCCAAAAAGTCAACAACACTATCATGGACTCGATAATAAAGTGATCGAGTTGATGATGGAAATTGATAAAAGCATGATAATGATGATAGAGGAACATTAATATCAATATATATTATGTAAGTATCGATTTAATAGTTAACTTAAATATTTATATCGGTGGTTATGATAATAAAGTCAAGTGAGTTCTAAAAATTTTAGAAAAATAATAAAAAAAAACCAAGAATATACGAAATGCTAACAATCACTTGGAATGAGACACAAAAAAATAACATTTCATCTCAATGGTGAATTTTTTTCATTCAACTCTGACTCTCAGTTCAGATAAATATCATGATAATATGAAATTATCTTCACTCTGTATGTAGATAAACATATTATCATGTTGAAACAAAACAAATTGATATGAGGCCAATATTTGATGCTATGTAAACGATATTATCTTTCATAATGATGAAAATATTGGATCAAGATGATGACAGTTATATTATTATAATAATGTCAACATCCATGATAATCATATAATGATAATAATATTATAACAATGTTGTTACACGAGATGGGAAAATTTTATCGTCCAAAGTACGTGTATTAATATTTATATTACTCTGGAATCTGTGGTTTCCAGAATATCATGTTGCTCATATAGCCTTATGAATAAGTTCATTGATAATCTCGGACAATCAGAATCTTTTTTCTTGGCTACAAGATTATGATTATCTATTAGACTGATTAGAGATGATTGTTTTCATGATAAAGGCTTGGAGATCTTTTTGGTTCTCTCTCTCTCTCTCTCTGTCCCTGTCATTTTCTTATTAGTCTGAATTTCCATGAAAAAAAATAATGAAGGTAATAATAATCCACAACATGGATACATTCAATTCTATATGAATTCTATTATGTGTATTACATGATATTCACTCAATATTTCATGGAAACATGAATCAGTGGTACATATATACATGGTGTATATACTAATAATAATGCCTGGTTAAAGATTTTATTGTTCAATTGAATAAGGAACATGATGATGAGTGTGTTTTAAGATCATGAAAATGTTCAAGGATGAACTCAGTTCTCATTGTAAGAGACCTTTAGTGTAAGAAAACGAAGTAATCATTTCGATCAAATGTCCTATTATAAATTATTTCACTCGACGAAAATTTCGAAATGATTTATTAACTAATGTGATCGCCTTAGTATCTTTATTTAGAGAGAGAGAGAAATAAAAATTCAGGGTAAATTCTGAGTTTTCAGATTTATATCTGGAAACTTTACTCGAAAGTGTATTAAGATACAAAGTTCAGTGAAGTTCTAAGTTTGAATAATAGTTTTTCTTGGTTTTGATGAATTTTCGAAAAGAAATTTTTTCTGATCATGTGAATACAGAGAGAGAGAAAAGAAATTGAAATTCATTACTTTGTATACTAATGGTAATTGGAAATAATAATAATATTGATGATCAGAATAAAGATAATATTGAATTAGAATATAATTTTTCTTCCTCAATGAATAGAGAAAGTGAGAGAATCAATTATTCATATTTTCCAATTGAATTTCATTCCATTCATTTTTCATCATCACAAACTTGATGTGAAAATATATTGACAATTTTTATCTGTCATCATGATTATATTAAAGACTAAATAATAAAAACTTACCTGAATTATTATCAATTGCGTCCAGAATAAGATAGATCAGATATAAAGTGAATATAAACTTCATTTCAATCTGGATCCAGTCATTTCATGATATAAACGTTGATCCTGATGGAAAAATGTAATAATCAAGAAAAATAATAATAAAGAAACATAATTAATTGCAATTCTATTTCAAAGTTATATTGTTACAACAATATAACAACAATCAAGGAAAAGGTAAGAAGGAAAAAAATAAACTTCTTGTTATGTGTTTACTTTGTTAACACCAAGAGAGAAAAATAATAAAAGTGAAATCAATCAAAATGGTTACAATTAATTAATTGAATTTCAATCATTCCAGCTAATTTTGATTCCGTTCAACTTGCAATTATCATCATTAACTCAATTGAAAAGTTTCATTCGGTAAATTGATTAACTCATTTGATTTTTGTAAGAAAATCGATCAAACCATTTTAATAATGTTATATAAGTTGAGCTCTCTCATCAGATATTAATATCTACAGGGCATGACAATGGTGATGATGATGAAGATAATGATGATGATGATGATGATAAACGACAATAATGATGATGATAAGAAGGGAAAATGAAGCCCGAAAACTTTGATATAAACTATTGGATATAAACATATATAAATCTTTGTATTATCAACTATATTTAACTACATGATAAAGTTCATTGATTGATTATCATGAGAAATATAATTTGGAAAAAGTAAAAAGTAGTTTTTTTTTACACTTTTTTTTTCATTCATCTGAGATGTAAATATATAATCAATATGTGCCTTTGTTTATCCCTGTTTTTTATTTGGGTGATATCATCATTAAGAATGAAAAAATCCCACTGATGATGATGAAAATGATGATAATCTACTCTCACCTATGGATTTTCATGATATTAAGGTGAAAATCTGCTTCCACCTCATCTGATAAATTGTCAATCTCTCAATTTAATCAGAGACAAAAGCTTGAAAATAAAATGAATCGCATTTCAAATGTAACTGTTCATAGGCACACACAAATATCATTAAATTGTGATTATTTGGGTGAACTGATTATGTAGATTATCATCATGATGACAATTGGCATAATTGATGATTTATTCATTCAGGGTGAAAATCTTTAGGATAATATTTTAGCTCATTAAGAGAAGACTAATATTTAACCGGAAATTTATTTTCTCTTGATTGTTGACCGATAAAATTTTATATATACAAGAAAAGAAAAGTTTTGTAGGTTAAGATGATTTTTTGAAAAGTTCTCTCATGTTGATATTGTCATTTTCCAATTTCTATTCAACTTGATCATCGCTTAAAGACAAAGTTTCATGATTATTGAGGAATCGTGTTTGTTGTTGGGTTAAAATATCTCGAAGTTTTCAAGAGAGAAAAAAGGATGAAAGAAAAGTTCTTGTCTCTTTTTTAAGATTTTTCAGTATTCCATGATAACTTGTAATTCTCTATCTGTATTTATATGAACAATGCAAGTATCATGGAATCGTCTCAGGTCAGAATGAATTTAGAATTATTTTCACTTGTGATCTAAAGCTTATCATCTGTCAACTATCATGAGGTGTAAATAGTGTATTACAGATCCAGGGGATTCCCAGATGAATATGAAAAAGACAGAGGAGAAAAAAAATATTCTCTCTCTCTCTCTCAAATGTCACACCAGGTATATCACCATTCGTATTACACAAAAGTGTATCACAATTTTAAGCTTTACCCTTGAATTCATCGGGAACAGGAATGGAAAATGGAAAAGGCTTAAAAGAATTTGAAAAGAAAAACAAAATGTTTCAAAGATTCGAAATTCAGAAATAATAGAAGTTTCAACAAAGATAGAAAAGAGAGCGAAAAGTTCATGTAAATAAACAGTAATAATACACATGTACTTGGATTTAGTTCAAATTACGATGTAAAGTAATTAACATTTCCATAAATAGTTCGGAAAAAGTCATGATAAAACCTCCATGAATTTCAGGATTTATCTTTTATTCTGGTGAATGAATAAAACATTTCATCAAATCTTAAAGAAAAAGGAAATTTGTTTCAATTCTAAATTTTAAATGAATCAACTAATCAAATGATAGGGGTACAAATGTCAACCTATTTAATGGAGAGAATACAAATAATTAAATGTATATTCTTGTAATATCATTCACATGTTAGAAATGCTCAACATTGAATCAGAAAGTTGATTAGGAATATAATTAATCTTTTTCCTTTCAATTTTAACTGTTATAATTCATTTTTTTTCTACTCCAAGGTTAATCGTAATTGTAATTATTAGATTAATTTAGAAATGGATTGTTAATAAACCTTGGTAATTGAGAGAATTGGCAAATTAACATTCTCAGTGTGGAGATTCAACTTTTCTAACGACCGTTTCGGTTTACTATCATTACGAATGAAATTGTGATACTTTCGAGTTGAAATTTTCTGTTATAAATAAATAAACTTTTTCCATCATCATCATCATCTTTCTTTCTATTCTCATCTTACCTCATTCATTTTATTCTATTCTATTCATAGAAAAAAAGTTGTCTTGATATAATCATTAATCTAAGTAAAATCTTTTCGAATTTTATTTTCCTTCTCCTTACTCTCTCTCTCTCTCTCTCTCTCTCTCTCTCTCTCTCTCTCTCTCTCTTTCTATTCTAAAAAGTTCTGAAAGAAAAAAAAACTTTCAATCTGATAATTTACTCGAATCACATTAGTAACTATCATCATCATCATCTTAATATGTAAGTAAGAAAAGGTAAGTGATAAAAAGTAAAGCAAATTCATATGAAACTTTAATTGTTATCATAATCAACTGAATAACTGGTTAATCAAGTTTCAATGTAATTAGACAACAATGATAATCAATTTAGAGAAAGGCTCATTATTTACATTGTGGACAAAGGAAATCAAATGAATATTCATTAACCAAATTATAATCTTAATTATAATTGTTGATAGTTGATCAGTTTTTGCGAAATTGAAAACTTCAACATATTAATAGTATTTGATTGGTGATTATCATCAACATTAACATTATCATCATCATTGATTAAATAATCTCATTGTCAGTTTGAATTAAATTGTTGAGAGATTTGATAAAATGGTTGACATTTTTTGGCGACTAATTTTAATTAACTGATTGTCAACGTGGGTTGATTGTAATCAGGGTTTGGGTTGAATTCCTGGTTCTTTTTGGGTTAAAGTCTAATGCAAACTCTTTGAACAAGTTGTTCGGATTAGTTTAGACTAATTAACTTGGTAAGGATTCGGGATTAGTTGATAGAGTTAGAGAGAGAGAGAGGGAAAAGATAATCAACAAAAAAAGGTCAATTGAAGGTTTAATTTAATTTTCATTTCTCAATTTCATTGATTATCAACATTATTATTAACATGATTAATTAGTAATTATAATTACAATTGAATAGATGACTGTTATCGTTGTCCATGATTTAAGTGAGCAACAATTAACTCCCATTTAAAGATGATGGTAAAACTTGTCAATATAAACAAATCCAATTGTGTAAATGTAAACAAATGTAACAAATTAATTCACTTTAAATAATAATAATAATTTGTCAACATATTTAAATCACTGGTCACAATTACGATTAATCAATTAATTTACTCGCAGGACAATTGGCACAATCAACACCAGAAAAAAAAAGAAACAACAAGAGAGAAAAATTGAAATTACAATTACTATTATTAGAATTTAATTATTATGATATTATGATATTATTATTATCCAATGGTGACGATGATTTAGTGTTGTGAGTAATTTAACAACAATTAAGCTTTGGAAAAATTGAATAATTGATTGGTTTTGTGGTTAAGATTAAGATGATTAACAACAAAGAGATAATCAAGATGATGATGGTGATGATCAAAGTGATAATCAAACAGAAAACAATCCATGTGAACCAATGGGAAGCTGATAAAAAGTATTACCTGTAACTTTATTGGTAAGATGATTGTTGCGATAATAAAAGTGATGAAATGAAATTTCAACTTCATCTGAATTCAGATGAATGAGATTGAGCAAGAAACAAAAAGAGAGACAAAAAGAAAGAGACAGAAACACAATACGACTCAGGGTGACTTCTATCGTTTCCTTTTCCAACTAGAAATTCATCTCCCATTGAAACTGATAAAAAGTCACTTTAAAAGTTATCAGGTTTCCTTAGTATCAATGACAATGTAATATTTATCTTCCTCTTTATCATCCTCTCTCCCTCTATTTTTTCCTCTCTCTCTCTCCATCATTCTAACCATTATTATCACCCATATACCTCCACCCACTTTTTTTCATCTTCTTGTTTATTATCTTTGAGTTTTACTTGTTTACCGTTTAAATTACAGGTAAAAATTTATTAGTTTCCCATTGGTTCACATGGATTGTTTTAAGTTTGATTATCACTTTGATCATCTTCATCTTGATCATCACCATCATCATCTTGATCATCTTTGTCGTTAATCATCTTAATCTTAACCACAAAACCAATCAATTATTCAATTTTTCCAAAGCTTAATTGTTGTTAAATTACTCACAACACTAAATCATCGTCACCATTGGATAATAATAATATCATAATATCATAATAATTAAATTCTAATAATAGTAGTTGTAATTTCAATTTTTTTCTTGTTTCTTTTTACTTTGTTTCTTTTTTTTGGTGTTAATTGTGCCAATTGTCCTGCGAGTAAATTAATTGATTAATCGTAATTGTGACCAGTGATTTAAATATGTTGACAAATTATTATTATTATTTAAAGTGAATTAATTTGTTACATTTGTTTACATTTACACAATTGGATTTGTTTATATTGACAAGTTTTACCATCATCTTTAAATGGGAGTTAATTGTTGCTCACTTAAATCATGGACAACGATAACAGTCATCTATTCAATTGTAATTATAATTACTAATTAATCATGTTAATAATAATGTTGATAATCAATGAAATTGAGAAATGAAAATTAAATTAAACCTTCAATTGACCTTTTTTTGTTGATTATCTTTTCCCTCTCTCTCTAACTCTATCAACTAATCCCGAATCCTTACCAAGTTAATTAGTCTAAATTAATCCAAACCAATTTGCCAGCGTTTTCCCATCAATGTATCAATGTTAGCAAATGCCCATCAACATAACCCAAAAGAACCAGAAATCTAACCCAAATCCGAACCAGAATTTTCTCTCTCTCTCTCTCTTTATCCTTCATTAACTTATTTACTAATTGACCTTTTCACTGAATATAATTGTAATTACATTGTTGATTGTTAATATTTACTGTTAGTTTAATGTACATTGGATGCAGAGTCACGTTCAGGTTTACTATTACCTCTAGATTGATATACCAATTGGAAAGCTATTCTCATGCTCACCTAAGCTATTGTTTCCGGTAAACTTTGGGCATTTGGACCCAAAATGATAGAGAAACAATAAATTGTGATGATTTGTATTCCTGTCCAAAGCCTGATCATAAATTGATCAAGTTAATTAACATGAAACTTAATTCCAATTCATATAATATTCAGATTCCCATTTTTTTTTCAGATTAATAACTTTTTCTTGTTATCATTTGTATCAAACAAAACACTAAACCGAACCGAAACATTTGTTAATAACTAATTATCTCATGGTAACAATTAGCTAATTGCAATTAGTCTCGATGTAACAAATTAGTCAATTTTACCTGAGTCTTTTCTTGGTTAATTCACTTTATCATTTCCTCTATGATTTATAAACTGTTTGCAATTAAGAATCAAAAAGTAAATGATTAACCAACCAATAGTTAATTTGTTTCTCTATCTCTGTCTCTCTCTCTTACCTTTAGTTGTTTTTACCTTTGAAATTGATTAACAATCAACAATTAATTATCTTTTAATAGTTTCTGTAAACAACTAATCTTATGATTACAATCAGAGTTACAATAATTATCTAATCATATTTGAAAATCTTTATTTAATTACTTAGTAATTAACCTTTTTCCCAATCAAAGGTTAATAGTGATTCAAGTCAAAATTGATTATCGTTGTATTGATTAAATTGAATTTAAGGAAACCAGTTTAATTGCGTGTTTAATTATTGATACTAAGTATTGTTGATTAATTGCAATTAACTTTTTTTTGTTTCTGGTTAATTGGTTTATAATTAACCAGAAAATTTTACAATTTTCAATCAATGTGGATTAAGTATTTACAATGAATTGAATGGTTGATTAGATTAAATTTAATTGTTAAGGTTTCATCTAAATCTTTATCCAACTTATGTCAATAATTTGATTTATTAATTGTAATCAACTGATTTGATATACCAGAATATTAATATATAAACAATATTAACCAAGATATTATGATTATCCAAAAGTGATTACGAGGTTGACAATTGATTGATTAGTTTGATTGACAATAAATTGATAGTTTCCAAATGATTAAAATGATTATTCTAACTTTTAATTTACTTTAATTAACTTTAATTGTTGTTTCTTTTTTTGATTCTCATCCAATTAGGTAAACTATATCATCTTCACTGGGTTTGATTTTCTCATTCTACTCAGTATTGTATCACCATCAACCCTGTTAATTGGTGATAATCAATGGCAACAATTTATCGAAAGTTTCCCCAAGATTGATAACTATTCAATTATTATCGGGATTATCCTAATCCGGTTAATCCTACGACTGTTTATCGTAATCGCGGTTCCTATTCTTTCAATAGGAAATCGAAGTGATCGACGTAAATATCTAATTCCATGGGAATTAATTGTATCCATTTATATTGCTGCTCTAATTGCCAGTTCAGTTTATTTTCTAATTGTTGAGAATAAGGTAAACAATCAAATGCAAACCAATAATAATAAACGATCAACAATCAATTTAAATTGTCAAACACTTGAAAAAGTTTAATATCATAATGATGATATCGATACAATAACGATTGAATAACGTTTAATTGTTGCTGATTTATCATGATAATTTGAATTTAGGACAACATTGAAACTTTATCATACAAACAATTGGCAATTTTTTTTTATTATTAAGGTCAAACAATTAACTTTCATTATTATTATTATTATTATTGAAAAGTTGATTATCACATCAATATTTAAATTGCAGATTAATTTAACTTTCTGATTACTACCTTGATTTAGTCAACTTATTGTCCTAAATTTTTTCATGCTGGTTAATTAATTTTTCATTCTCTCATTAATGTTGATTTAATTGTAACAATTTGTTTCTCTCTTGTTTATTATTAATCTAGAATGGGTTAATCAGTGAATTCCCCAAGTGGATTAGCGCTAATTTAGTTCAACTTGATGTAGATACGAGTGTTCAATGGGCTCGATTTACGATATTTCTAAATCTCTCCGATGGTGGACCTTTAATTGTTATCTGGTTAATCTTATTATGTTTGGTTCACCTTCGAAGTGTTCAAATACGTTTCGAGAAAAGTCAACTTCGTCGATTAGGCCAATGGGACACAAATATATTAACCTATCGAATACCTCGAGCTCGTCTTAATTCAATGGATGGACATCCAATGGATTCAACATTGGAATTACGATCATCTCGTATTCCCGTTTATCCAAATATCGCTAATCCAAATGTAACTGATTCTCACGCACCTTTTTATGATAATCAAGCCTTCAAATATTAACACGAAATTATTATAATTTAAAAAAAAACCAAAAACAAAAAACAAAAGTTAGAATTGAATTTTAACTTAAAAACAATCGTTCATCTTGTCAACTGAATTTAATTCATGGTCGTTCATGTAAATCAGAATCAAAGGAAAAAAATAACAATGAACAAAACTAATCCATTGATACAGAATTTTTTGTCTCCTCTCTTCCCCAATCAAGTTAATTAAAAACAAATCTCTTATTTAATAACAACAAAAAAGTTGTAAAATTTAATTAAAATACTAAAAAAAAAACTTTTCATTTACAAAACAATTAAACCTTTTCATTAATACTCCGAATCTAAATTATCAATGAACCAATTTGATCATTAAACCAACTTCATTTCGGTGACAATAGATGGAGACACATTTTCTCATTGTTTTCTATTATTATTTGGTTTTAACAATCAATTAATTGTCTCTTTCCTTTGTTAATTGTTGTATATTTTACTCAAAGATCCATCTAATTGTTATCATTAAAAATTTCGACTCAATTAGTTGGTGAGAATAGAAAATGAAACAAAAATAGAAAGAAAATAAACAAATCGATTGATTCACCATCTATTGGCAAGATTTGTAAGAAATTCGTTAATTGTAACTAACGGTATTCGTAAATCGATGTTCCAAACTGTTGTAGGATTGCTCATTTTGGAAATGTTATTATTATTATATGATTAGTACATATGATGACAATTTAATGGCTCTCGATACATATGACTGATCAATGAAAAATTATTAACTACAGGTAGTAATTAACAAAGGGGAAAGATAATGTCAAGTATTATTAATATATAAGTTGAATTGACGCTTTTCGTGATAATTTTAAATTAGTTTCTCTTCACAATTTATGTAAGTTAATTGTCAATCAAATTGTAATCTACAAGGTTAAACAGATAGGAACTGAGACAATCAGATTAATCAATAAGAGACACAATCAATTTGACAGTTTCAACAATTCAAATCTAATCTTGGATGCGAACAGTATAAATCAAAATTTAAATGTACTCACAAAATAGTAATCAAATTTAATTTAATTGTATAACAACAAATTTATTAATTTCTGTTAATTTTTCTTGTTTACAGGTTTTGGCATTAATTTTAGTTTTAATTTACTAATTGACAATTAATGTTATTCTCATGATAATGATAATAATAAGACGGAATAAATAAAAAGTCCGAGGATCGAAAAGTCGAAGTTGAAGTCGAAAGAAAAACTTTTTTATTTTTCTCTCTCTTTCTTTGTTAATTTGGTTTCTTTTTCTTTCTTTTTTTTTCGTGGCCATAACAACGATGAACAATTCTAACGATGATTAATTAGATAATTAATTAATTAATTTGATGAATTGATGAAGAAAAGAAAAGAAAAGAAACAAGAAACAAGAGAAACAGATTAGACCATTTAAATTGTCACTTGTTTTTGATTCTTCTCATTTTACAATTAACGTTTTTGTTTGTCATCTTCTTCTGGTGATATAATTAACAAGATAAAATCAGTGAGATGATTAAAATATGTCTAAGAGCGATTGTGATTAGTTCATGATGATGATAATGGTACAATCAACAATGAATTAACAATTAATAGTTACAAATGTTGTGGCTTTTCATGATGAGAGTTTGTTGGTTTGTATTGTTTTCCTTTCAAATATTATCAAACATTGAATTCAATTGTTGTTTTGATTCATTTAACAAAAATATAATGAAATTGATGATGATTATTAAGAGATGCGATTGGGATGAAGATGAACATGATTAATCTTGTCTCATGAATTTGAATTCAAATTCAAAATGAACAAAAAGTTATCGCTTCCAGAGGTACACAAAGGTTATCTTGTTTCATTTAGAATTGGAAACTCTGGTCACTCTCTTTCTCTCCGATAAAATCGCAGAATCAAATAGCAATTTGGTTGATACGAAAGAGAATAGAAGAAAAAAAAACGATTAGAAGAACCAAGTTAAACTCGAACAACGAATCGGTCGTTTTGTGTTCAATTCTTTTTCTTTGACGTTCAGTTGTTGTTCTTTCGCTAATTCTTGTGTCGATATTTTCTCTCTCCTCTCTCTCTCTCTCTGTGATATTAACCATCGGCAACAACGATAGACTAGAATAAAATATCAGTTCCTTTTTTCTCTGTTCGACTTTTAAATCCATTAATCCAATTCCTTTTCCATGGTTCTCAGAGAATTTCTTTCACCGTCTTCATCTTTTTCTTTTATAACCATTCCAACTGATAGAATTTATTAGTCCAAGTTGACGATTCTTTGTTTCTCTAATCATTCAGTTTAATTTATCGTTTGGGTTGTATCATAAAGCACCAGAATCAGTAATTTTATCAGAAACAGAATTTTATAAAATATATTTTGATATATTTCGATAAAATCTATTCTTTTGCTTCCAATGTTACATTTGATTCTGTTGAAATAATTTCGTTGCAATTAGCTTGCTTCGTTTTTGATATAATCTCTTTGTTAGAATTTTTTTTGGTCAATTCTTTTCTCTCGGCTTCCTTATGCTCTTCATCTTTATAATGGTTATAATTTTTACTCAAGTTATCCATTAATTCTGGAAAATCACCAAATGCTAAAGAAGAGGAAAAGAAAATGTTAATATTTAAGAGGAGAAAAATGATAAATATTGTCCATTTTGTGGATAAACTTTTCCAATGGTCAAGAGATACTCACCATCCCAAGCTTCAAACATATCATGGACAAAGAAATCTATGAAACCGATCTGGGACTTGGGTATACTACAAGTCGCTCTATCATAAGCTGGCATAACAACCGGAAGTCCTAATGCTTTTTCCTCATCAGTCTATTGGTCATTGGTAAGCGAAAAATTATCATTGACCAGGTAAACAAATGAGATATTTAAGATTAGTGGTCATCTGGTGTGTTTGTATACACTTTGTATATTCATCTCTTACCTGATTACAATACTCTTCTGCTATCCTTTGGGCCCATGTATTACAAATGACCAATGGTCGAGTTGGATTGCAAACATCAGCACATTTAATCAACATACGCTTAATTATGACGATATTTTCTGGAGATCCTGATATATCAAGGGAATCTTGATTAACCATTGAACTATCTGAACTTTGTGGTTGATCAATATCATTAGAATTTGTTTGGTTTGTTGATTTAACCATTTTAAACGGATCGATTAGGACACTTATGAATTTGGATAAATGTTCAAAATGTTTGGTCATCTCTGTAGCTAGAACCATATCGATTATTGATTGACGAACCTCTTTGTACGTATCACGATCAAGATTTTTAAATATATTAATCTGATCATCTGAAAGTGTTAATTTAAATGCTTGAGCTGCATGATGACTTTCGAGAACGGATCTGGACCAGAGAAGCATTTTCCATAAAAAAGAGAAACAATTAATTACTCGAATCAATGATCAAGAAAAAACTTTATCCTAATGATTATCAAAGTGTCACTTACATATCATTATAAAGTATGGCGAGTTCATTATGTGAATTGCAAAGAAAAGCGGAAGATTTTCCTGGATGATCGATATCATGAATTATCGCTGAAATCAGGCTGATCACTTCGTCTAGTGGGTCAAATATTGATTTCAATCGAGGTTTCCTCAGGAAATATGATGTCGCTTGCATAACATCAGCTGCATGAGTTGAATTATGATATGGATTATCCCGATAATGTGATTCAACCACCACAAGCCAATTGCGTAAAGTTAATTCATCACAATTTAAATTTGAACAGACATTGAATGAAGATAATATTGATAATCCAAGAAAAAAAAGTGGCCTTTTTGGGTAAGCAATCAAAGACAATTAAAAAGATAAACAAGCAATTAACTAATCATGTTTATTCATGTAGTGATTAATGAATCAATTTTGGTTTTTCTCGTTCATCAGATTGTTTTTTTTTTGAACTTTTTTCCCGCTTCTCGCATTCATAGGTACTATTAATATGTGTACATAAACATATTCATTTTTTTTTTACTTTCTTCGTTGTAAAATACAATTAAGGTTAATTGATTAGGCTAATTAAATGAGTTTCGTAAGTAAGACAATTAAAAATATACAGATATTTATCATTCGCTTGATAAACTAGTTAAATAAATACAAGTATAAATATATATAATCTGTAATTGCGCCAAGGAACTCAAGGAAAATCTGATTATGAGAAACAAATTGTAATCATTTCGGCTTTTCTTTCCTCTCCTCTTCATGATAATATTAATTCAGCATCAAGAAAGAGAGATAGATAGAGAGAAAATTTTGATTCTCTCTGAATCTGAACCAGAATCATGATTAGTATATTTTGCTATTCAAAACATGAGGATTCGAGTTCAATAACATGATCATGTTTATCTCACATTTAATTTTGTTTATTCATAAACAAACAAGTTAATCTCATATTTGTTTATCAATTTTACCAGGAAAACCTTTCAATTTACACACTGAGGTAAATTGATAACGTAACATTCATGTAAATATACATATTGATGTAATCTCAATTCTCAATTATCTGGCATTTCACTCTCTCTCTCTCTCATATTGACGTTGATGATTAGAAGTTTTGAAAGAGAGAAACCTGAAAAAAAGCAGAGAATTTTTCTTCTTCTTCTTCTTCTCTTATGATTGAAATGTTTACCTTTTCTCAGTAAGTCTTTCTAATTCGATTATATTGAAATCCCATGTCCATTGAAGGTCAAACGTTTTCTTTAAGTTTTCAGGAAGATTTGAAAAGTTTGGATTCGAGGTTGGACTTTGTAATAGACCAGAACTATTTTTACGAACAACTTGTTCATATGACATTCGCCTCATTCCAGTTGCCTTGTTACTCTGATATGATGATGATAATAGGAATTATCATGGATCATGGAAAGAGAGAGAGAGCAAGAAAGAAAAGAGGGAAGAATAAAAAAATAATAATAATCTGAGAAAAGGGGACAATTAGAGGTAATAGATGATAAGAAATGAGAGAGGATCATCATCATGAAGACTTAAGATGATGAATGATGATAAGTTTGAATACATGGAACAGTAGTTTAAGAATCAAGATTAATCTAAGTGATAAAAAGTTTTCGATATTTTTTTTTCCTTTTGGGTTCAGTATTAATTTGATTAATTCTGAGAATAGGAAGTGAAAAAAAAGGTGAAGATGTGAAGATAATCATGTTATCATGGTGGAGGAAAATATATTATTATTATTAACATTTTTTTTCCTTTTATATCTAATCCATTTAAGTTTATATCAAGACCACCATTATCATCCTATCAGGTAGATGAATGAAATTTTCAAGGGAAAATCAAGTGATAATAGTAATTAAATTTGATTACTTACGTGAATTAAACCAGTTAATAGATCATTAGTTAACTGATCATCAGCTTTTGATGGTGGAAACCCTGTTAATGTTGGTGAATGAACATCAGTGTTTTTCAATATTTCAACAACTTTTTCCAATGTTTGAGCCAAAAGGATTGGACTGTTTTCTTGTGTTGCCATCAAAACATTCATAACCTGAAGATTTTGTCAATTAGATGATTAAGATGTATGATTATTACTTGAGCACATGGTAAATATATCATGAAGAAGAAGAGGAGGAAGCGAAAAAAATGAGAGAGAGAGAGAGGAAGAGAGCGAAAAAAAAGTGACAAAGATGAAGGAAAATTACACTAATTAGATATAAACTCTGTTCTTTACGATGAGAAGTAGAAAAAAAACTGATGAACTAAAGACAACAAGTAAGATAAAATAGAAGAAGATGAAGATGAAGAAGATAATGATGATGATGATGAAGAATGAGACAAAATGATAAAGAGAAAGTTAATGTCTAAAGTGAGTGTTCATTCATTAGCCATGTTCATCTCTTTTTTTCGTGCCAACCCCTGATTCTTGTTTCAAGATTCATGATGAAGTTTTTTTTACTACTCTCCCTCTCTCTCTCTTTCTGGATGAAAGAGGATGAGAATGTCGATGATGATGACGAAGATGAAAAAAGGATGATCTGTTGACTGCCTTGAACAAGTTAAAGACAAATCCCTATTCATCCCTCGGTATCTCAGCTAATTATTATTAGAAGGGAATAAGATAATTATGATAAGGATTATTACGAAGCTCCATTGATGAGGATGATGATTATCATTGATTGTGTTGAGAAATTATAATTGTTACCTCAAAGGATAATATTAAACAAGAAATGATCAACAAGAGCAACAAAATATTAAAAAGTGAAACTTTTTTAATGAGAAAAAAAAAGTTACAACTAAATTTAAAATCATAACCATGAAAATGTGATTACATTTAAATGCTCAGAAATGATAATCATAATACTCATGATAATTATTTTTTTCCCCTGCAAGTTTAACCTTGATCTTTTAATCAAGGTTAGTTAATCTTGATAACGAGAAGAAAATAATAATAATAATAAAATGAGAGAAAATAAAAATAGTAATGAGAGAGAGAGAGAGAGAGAGAAAATAACGGTAATTCAAATCTGAGAATAACTTTTGTCAATTCTTACATTATTTTAATCCATATAATTGACGATTTTTGATCAATGATGACATAATATCACATGAATATTAACACAGTATAACAATAGTTATTGAAAATGTATTGAAAGTGAATCGATTTCCAATCAATCAATGGAAAGAAACAAAAGTGAAAAGTTGAATACGAGAGTCACAAAGAGAAAGAGATATCGAATGAAATAAACTTTGATCACCTAAAGGTAAGATTGGAAAACTTTTGATGATAATGATGATGAAGATTTGTAGTCTTTTCTGTATTACTTTTATATCATAAAAAGGATAAAAAAACTAGAGCAAAATGAAAACAATGTGAATTAACTGATATCCAACAGTCAACTGATAAATAACCAAAAGAATATAAGTTTGAAGCTTATCCTAATCTCTGGTTAGATGCATTAAAACCTAATGATAAGATGTAACTGATTTTCCTTGGAAAATGATTCATTGGAAACTTTTATATATTTTTTTTTCTTCTTATTCTCTCAATACTTAGATATTATATCCAATTTAATACTAACCTTCATCAGCATGATGACCTTTTCACTGAAATTCACTAATAACATTAATCTTTGATTGTTTAACTCTCTATCCCCATGTAACAACAACAACAACAAGAATAGTAAAGGTAACATTATCAAGAGAACCCATTGATTGTAAATACTAACAATCAACTACTATGATATTGGACTTAAGTGTATTACAAGAAAAATGTTACAGAAAAACATTATGAGTGTTTCTTGTTGTATAATCAACATTGATTTCTATCCATTTGGTAATCAAGTTAAAATATCCAATTTGTTGGTAACCATTTATTTCCAGAATATTGGATAGAAAACTATTGGTAAACTGATTAAATATTTAGAAGGATAAGAAAGAAAATTCTAACTCATTATTATTGGAATAATATTGAATATTGATTGATGATAAATCTCAATAAAATTACCACTTTTTTCTGTATTGTTTTGTTTTTTTTTTCTTATATTCTATTTCTTGACCATCTTATGGAAGTGACCATTAAATCTGGTCACTTACAGGGATAGAGAATCGGTTTTAAGTGAAGCATCTTAATCATCATTATCATCTCATGGTAAATGGATGTGTTACCAAAGGATAAAGTACATTAGATGATTCGGAGATGATTGGAGGTTCGAGGATATTGAAGATTTGAGAAGAGAGAGAGAAAAAAATAGTTTTATTCATGGAATTAGTTCAGTAGAATTGGTTATACATGTAAGAGGAAAATGATGAAAATAAGAAGAAGAGAGAGAGAAAAAATGGAAAAATCATATTTTCGATACATAAGAAAACATTTAGCTCGTCAGAACAAAATTGAAAGGCAGAGAGAAAATGTTAACACATGATGAGAGATTAGTGATGGAGATAATGTTGAAACTCTCATGATGATAATGATGCTTATGAAATGTTGGTTAGATTCGTTTAACATGTCATATGTAATGTAAGGATAACTTGAAGAGAATCTCCATCATTATCATCAGAGTTTTCTTCTTCTTGAGAATTTCCTAATATCATGAAAACTTCCGGTTATTCTTTCATCTTCCTCTTCTCTTTTTTTCTCTCTCTCTCTCTCTCTCCTCCTTCTGAGTTTCCATTTCCAGTTACACTTTTTTTCCACTATTTTCTTTTTATTCCTTTCGACTTTTTCTTCATTGACATAATCTTAATCTCTTTGCTTCATCGTCTTCTTATTCTCCACCAATGGAAATAGTTCCACAGAACTTCTGGTTTTTATTCTTTCTTATCACTATTATTCTTCCTCATCTTCCTCATCTTTCTTTTCATTTCTCTTCTTCCCTGTTGTGAATTTTCTCTATCATTCTATCTGTCTCTTTTCGAATTCTTTTTGTTGTTTATCTTTTTCGCTGTGTTACTTTTTGGTTCGAAATGCAAAAGAAGAAGAAAAATAAATCGAATCACCCAAAAATTGAATCAACGGTAATCTGATTAGAATAATGCAACTCGATTTCTCTCTCATTCTCTGTTGTTGACTGTTGAGACATGACCTAAATTTACTGATTGTTGATGATTACATGAGAAAACAAGTCAAGTCAATACACAGAACCGAAAAGATTAGATTGTTATTGTTGTTGATTCGTTTAAAGAAAACACAAAATGAACGATTTTTTTCCCATTAAAACGATATCATAAGTGCCGAAAGTTTCTCACTTATTGTTGTGAAACTTTGTTGATCTGTTTTGCCTTGAAAAATTTTACGATTTTAAATTGTTCGAAATTTATTCAACTTGACCTAGTTTGACTTTTACATGGTTCATGAAGTCAGAGCAATTATCACATAGAGAGAGAAGGAGAAGGAGAGATGATAGAGTGATACAGTTTATGTTCAGTATTGATGATCCCTCTGAGGTTGAGTATTCAGTTAAGTGTAACAAAAAAAGAGATGTGGAAATTGGTCATTTCCTTGATAAATCAGATTAAATGTGATTGAACTGATGTTTCATCGTAAATCATTCAATTGTTATTATCTAAACTAAATGAACATTTCCTGAAGATTTTGATGTAATATTTCAAAACTTGAATTAAAGTTCATCATTTGTTAGATACATAATTGCTCAGAATTTAATAACAAATCGAGTTTAATATTCACCCAATCAAGTAAAGGATACTGATCTTTTTTTTCTTGCATTAGATGATCATCTAATTTCAATCAATCAGTAAATCATCGAGTAAAAACTCATGAAACCGAAGACAAATATTAAGCGACCAAAATATCAATTCTCGATGGTATTGATAATAATATAACTTTGGACATTTCAATCTAAGGATAACTCTAGTAATGTCATAATTAGCACAAAGTGTGAGAGAAAAAAAGATAACTGATAACATTAGGAAAAATATCCATGTAAAGGTGAATGAGAATAACTTTTTTATCTCTCATCGCATTTATCGTTAATCTTAAAATAAACGATTTTCGAGTTGATGACCAATATAAGATCTAGAAAAACGTATATTGTAAGGATAGAATAAGATTATTCAGTTATCAATGAGAACAAAGATGTTGGTAGAGTATTGGTAATGAATAGTTTTCCATGATAAATCCCACCTAAAGTCTACTCTGACACAGAGAGAGAGAGAGAGAGAGAGAGAGAGAGAGAGAGAGGATAAACTTTTGTATGTTCGATTAAGGAAGAACCCAATAGATCGAAAGAGAATAAATGATAAAAAAGAGAGAAAATATTAGGAAATATGTTCTAAAGCTAAAGTAATGTGAAGGAAATAGAATAGTAAATGAGAATTTGTATAAGAAGAAAAAAAAGAGGCTGAACCGATTCTGGTTCTTACCATGAATTAGATATTTCGAAGCGATAATATAATTTGGTGTATTATCAATAGGCAGGGAATCGATTTACTATTTTTTTCGAGGTCAATGGACTCGAATTTTTTTTAACATACTTATTATCCAGGACGCAGTTGCTATTCTAGTTGAGAGTATTATCAAAAATCATCATCATAATCATCATCGTGATAATGATAATCTTTTTCTCCATGAATTTTGTGAGAGAGCAAAAAAAAAATTAGACTCATGTTATTGTTCAACTGTAACTCAATCTGATCTAATATTCAAGTAGATATACAAATTGCTGTTATAATGATCATGATTACACCTAAAATATTATTGAACATTATCATGATATCATTTTAATTAATGGTTCATAATGACAATAATATTACATGGAAATTGTTTATGGTCAAATTTTTTTCTCTCTCTCTCTGATTTTGTCCATGTAACATTCTGAATATATTGAGATAATTGAACCATGGACATTACATAGAGTGAAAGATATAAATAGCTGAATACATGGTCATGTTGATGATAGAATTACATCTTAATTTATCTTCTCAGTTTTTCTTTTCCATGTAAATATTATATAATAACACTTTGAAAGACAAAAAAAGAAGCAAAATATTACCTAGATTCTCATATATATCATCAAGATGATAAAACTAATG